TTCTATGTTCTAAATGAAGATTAATTTTGTTTTCATTAGAAGTTAGCACAAGTAAAATTTCATTTTGGTTCTGAACGAAAAGTGTTTACGTAATGAAATGTTGTTTTTATTCTGATTGATAAATGTTTCTGATGTGCATAATTCTTTTAGTATTTTTATAATTGTATTGCTATCAATGAATGAGTTGTGTGTTTTGTTTTGTTTTATATTATGAATAATATGAACGGATATTTTCTTTTTCTCTTGGAGAACAGAAATGATTAAAAAAGTGAAAAGGGTTTTATCTAGTACATTATTTAAACTGTGCCATTAATGTTTTGTTTTTATGCAATACGAATACTTCTTTTGAATTAATGTTTTATTTGCCATTATTCTGAAAAGGCATTCTAATATGTGCTGTATTTTTGAATTGCGAGTTTATAAAAATTTTTATTATTTTGTAATTTTTGAGAACAACTTATATATCTAATTATGTTTTTCAAAGAGAACTATAATCGAAAATTAATTTCTTACAGCATTTAGGATTTTGTAGACATCAGAGTCATAACTAATAGAAGATTTATCAAAGTTAAATTCTATATTTGGGATTTTTATGTTTACTAAATTTATGCATTTTATTGTCTATTAGCAAGTGTAATAATCCTTGTTAAATGTTAGTTTCGTTTTCGAAGTAATCTAAGATGAATGATTTTTTTCTATGTTGTTTTCAAATATTTTGTAATTGTTATGGGTAATTAAGAAATTCAAAAAATTTCTGAACATATAACTTTTCTTCAAACAAATATTAAACTTTTCAACGGACATTGAAAGTAGGATAATATGGCATTTTGGGGACTAGCCAGGAAAAAAGACCTGCAAGTCTTAGCCACAGAACTGGGTTTGCACATCTCAGATAATTTGAAAGTGATTCAACTCAAAGAGTTAATTAGGAACTCAGACAAATATGAAAAGTTATTCGTGAAGAACCTATTAACCAACATAACTGATGAAAGAAAAATGGCTGAACAAGCAGCTGAAAATGAGAGGTTAGCATTAGCTGAAAAGGAAAATCTTTTGTGTGAAGAAAAAGTAGCCGAAAAACGTTTGTGTGAAGAAAAAGCTGCTAAAGGCACGAATTAGAAGGAGATCTGTTTGAGTGGAAAAATAACACTTCAGCTCGAGTTGCGAAAATCTCAAAGGAAGTGATAGATCAGGAATAGAGCAACTCACAATGGAATACAGAGTTGTCCTAATTAACCCTAAGAAGAAATTGGATGTATTGACAATTTTGAACGTCCGTCAAACACCTTGTTATCTGATCAGCCCATTGCCAACAACTACACAATTTATTGCAGAGAAGATGAGAAAGCATTCCAAAATTATCCAAATTAAGATACTCCTAAGCGTACAGGTACGGCTAGCCGTTCAGCCAGTTTTTTTTTTTTTTTTTTTTTCCCCCCCCCAACATAATAAAAGCCCAAATACAACTTTGAGTGCAATGGGTGCACAAAGTAGGTTAAAGCAGGTACTTAAATTGCAGTTTAGTTATTATCAGTTGTTCTTTTAGTCTCACTACTTCAGACCAAAACTTTACAATGTCAATTTTTTCTGTTATAGCAAAGACAAATTTTAAGAAAAACTTAGTTTGCTTAGACAAGGCGTTTAACCTCTCACTGAATTTTATATAATCTACAAGTTTTAAATTTATATAGTCATTGAATGCTATACTTGTTCTAAAGAAAAATTTGAAAAAGATATTGATTTTACAGATTTACTAGTTCCGAATTTGAGAAAATAAAAAGTATAGAATTCCAGCTATATCTGCACCACAATCATCCCTGCATGCTTTACAGTTTTACTTACCTCTCTAGTTTGTAGAGGTAAAGGCAAAGGCAATAATTCAGACAGTACAGTTAAACCTGTGACAAAATTACTTGGTGACAGCTTTATGTACTTGAGTATTTCCTGAACCATTTCAGTCCAAAGGCTTTTGCTGAAAGCTTTAAAAAAATCTTTTTAACACAGATTTTGATTAACAATTTACATAAATTATAAAATACATAAAATCAATCATAAAATATATTTTAAAATACACCTAAAAAAACCAACTGAAAATTTTAACACAGAATTGTTAATAAAAACGAAATAAGCATGTGCAATAAATATTATACAATAAAAATCAAAATATCAAAAAAGAAAGATACAGTCAATATAGTCAATACACTGATAATATTTTTCAGTGTAACACCTGAAGTAGCACCTGAAATCTTCTATATATTAAGCATCATACATGGTTCAAATTACGAAATTTTTGTATTAACTCGGTATAAATGCATGAGGTGTTTAGTTTTTCTGTATCTCTTCTACATACATAAAGGAAAAATAATGAAAAGTGTCAATTATTATAATTTTTTTCAAGGATTTACAAGTTTTCAAATAACATAATGCATGCAAATTTGATTTTTCACTATTATATATTACTATAAAGCTAAAGTTGTTGTGAATTCAGTTATTGTACAAAATTCTATATGCTGTAAAAATTAAAGAAGTAAAACTGAATTATTATTTTGTAAATATAAAAATTTTTAATATTCTAACATTTAGAGAGGGTAAAAAGAATGATAAGCAAAGTTAAGAGCTTCCTTAGTAACCTAATATTAAATCATAATTTTTTTTATTTTTTAATTACATATACTAAAAAACGTGTTTCAGTACTAAAACTAAGCAATTTAACTATAATTTTAGAATACTTTTCATATTTTACCCTAGACATGGTAAATATTTTTTTAAATAGAAAAGGGAAAATGAAAGAAAAAAGATGTGAAAAATTTAAACAGAATACTTTAATTACAGGACTTATAAAGTGAATCTAAAATATCTGCAAAAATGTAGAAGGGATAGAGGTAATTGAAACAAGCAGATTTTTTATGTGTCGTAGAAATTGCTTGTGTACGTGCTAGCAAGTAAGGAAGATATGAAAACAGGTAAGCAAGAAACACAGGTAATGTCAAAAGAAATTAATGTTTTGAGCATTTAATTTTTACAATAAATGCTTAGTACCAACAGTAATACAAGATTAACAGCAACAAAACATGGTTGACATGCATATTCAAAAATCTCAAGCATTTCACAAATATTTCGAACAGTAACTAACACAGCTTGGCCAATACATCTTCACTGCACTCAATGGACTTTCATAAATCATAATCATAAAGTGCTGCAAAAGAAGAAAACCATGACAAATATAGTAATCATAGTGGCCATGAAACATGTCTACAATGTGTGGTCCAATTTCTATGAACTGAAATATTTTCCCTTGCTCATATCATGCCTCCAATCACAGAACGTTTCAATCAAGCACAGCCCACAATTAATATGCTTGAATGTTTGGCAATTCGACAACTCAGAAATCATTGTCTATACAACCTTTCATCAGCCCTCCATTTCCATCTGCAAACCCATACATTAAATGCATGTCAATGAACATACCATTTGAATTCTGCACTGGAAATGATGATCTGACATCAGCAGACAACTTTCATCTACTGATCTGAAGTCATCTCTACAACCTCAGGATGTGATGTAATGGAATGCCATGTTTTGTAAATAAATGTGTATGCAGAAGCTTATGCGTTCTATTACAAAAATCTGCTTATTTTGATCCCCCTCTATTTGCCTTTACATTTTTTGCCAGGTATATTTTTTAATAATCATGTGTGATCAATATACCTTCTTCAGATTCTATTGTTCCCAAAAATGGTTGCGTATATGTCAAAAGTGCTTCAATAACTTCAGCTTGAACCTAAAATTCAAGTGCAATAAATACATTCTATTGATACTATAGGTATGTTATAATATATAACATAAATATCAGATGCACACTCATATACATTTAAAAAAGCAATTTAAAACTTTGTAATGAGTTATATACACCAAAATTTCTGCATTTACTAGACAGAGAATTTAAATATAAAAAATTATACCTTTCTCCATGACTAATAACTGAAGTTCTTAGTACTACCTTAAAATTTTTAAAGATCAACATATACTACACAAATGAGTATATGATTAAACTTCTTAATACGAATATATTAAAAAAGTGACACAGATAATCAATACAAATACTAAAATAAATAACGTAGCACATGAAATAGTGCACAGAATTTATTTTTATGAAACATCTTGTATGATTATTATAAGATTTATTAGTGATACTATCTTGCATTATTTTGGCATATCTATAAAAATTATGCTTCTTGAGCTGACAGATATACAATTATTCCTTTAAAAACTATAGAAATGAAAATGACAGGTAAAGCACGAAATTTTGAAAATTACTGCATATAAAACAAACAGTATTTACCGTCTGAGCAAGCTGATATGAAAATGAAGATGGTGGGATAAGAAGCATTAGGGAATAGACTTTCAGCAAAACTGGGACAGCTGTGAGGTCTTTGAACTAAAGCAGGACAAAAATATTAAAATTGAAAGAACAATAAAGAAAAATATTAAAAATCACAAGAAACATTTCAAAATATTTTAAATTATCAGAAACAGTATTCAACAATGATATAAATATGTATTCCATAAGCAGTATGTTTACAAATTTTACTGCAAGAACATAACTGCATTTTTCATTTAATGAAGTATTAGAATTTTTTTTAATAAAAATTTTAAAAATAGTTATTGTAGTGCTTGGTCCTCCAAAACTTTAATCGTAAAAATAAGTAACACCCTTTAGGTGGAGGAAAAGAGTTGGAGACTAGTTCTTGGCTGGAGAGGCTGAATGTTTAGTGGAGTGATTCTATAATCAGCAATTCTTCCTTAATTAATATATTTTCTATTTGTATAGCATGTATATAATCCACATTGTAAATAAATAAGGAAGTTTATCTGAGTGTCATTAACTGCATACAAGACACAACAGATCTAACATAACAGTTACAACTGGACTTTAGACTGACGCAGCAGACTCTGATCAGAATCGAAACTGTACATCTTAACCTTTTAACTGTCATGCCCGAAATAATCTCAGGCACAGCACTGGTATTCCAAAATGTCACGCCTGAATATTACTCGGGCTAATTTTTTTTTTTTTTTTTTTTTTTTTTTTTTAGTGCATCGTACTGTTATAACTGAATATATATCGTGAGAATTTTATTTCGGCAGTTCAACAGATGGCAGCATTTGATTGAAGGTTTCAAAGGATAGAGGTTAAATTTCAAAGTGTGCAGCATTTTTTTGATTTTTTGACTTTGAGACAAATATTTCATTTTTGGAATTAAAAAAAATTGACAATTTATGCACCCAATCATCAAAATAACTTGACAATTAAAAGGTTCACTGAGAAAAGGTAAGTGATTTATTTTCATGTATTACTTTTAAAGTAACTCTGACTGTAAATTATAGTTACTAAAACTATATAATTGGATAAATTACAAGGTGTTGTAATAGTTTGAAGTAATTAACACTCTATTAAGAAAACACAATAAAGTCAAAAAAGTGTTAGCAGTTAAAGGTCTCAAAAAACATGATTTGTTGCTATTGGCTAAAGAACTAGGTCAGGACACTGGTGAAGGGCTTAAATTATTTGAACTTAAGGATAAAATTGTTATCCATAATTGATGATAGAAAATCCACTGAAAAATTGGACTTTAAAACAATTATAGCTGAAAGGTTGAAGCTAAAACATTTACATTAGCTAAAGAACATAAACCAGAAATCCCAAGACTTAGAAATTCATCTAATTCTAACCTTTTAGATAACACATCATTAGAAAATTTAATTAAAAGCATAAAAACTTTAATGATATCTATTCTGTTCATCCAGAATCATGGGCACTTTATTTCTCTTTGTTAGAATGAGCATTTAATATAAAAAATGCACCAGAAAAGTGCAAAGCTAAAATTTCAATAAATCTTGTGGGTGAAAATGCAACAAATGCTTTAAGTTAGGTTAGTGGAGATGATGTCAAATGGATCTCAATTAATTGAGATGATGTCAAAATTATTATAAGTATTTAAGAATAAAATCTTAAAAGAATATCTGACAACTGCTTGAGCATGCTTAGATATGTTTCAAAAGGCAAAACGTCAGTCAGGAAAGCATGCACCAAATTTGCTTCCCCAGTTAACAACACAGTGGAAACTTTATTGCATGTTAAGGAATGCGAGTGATTTAAATACAGTTCATGAATTAATCGCAGCCAATAAATTAATGCAAACTCTTGGTCATGAGACAGTCATGTATATAAATGTAAAACAAGTCATAGTTGGTTAAAACGTGTGGAAATTGGAAAGAAATGTGACACATTCTTTGCTTACAAAAGAAATTCATTAAATGAGACTGGTAACTATTTTCAGAAAAGTCCGAATATTGAAACCAAAAGTACTCACTATATACCCTCTCAAATGCAAAAACTGGATGGTTTGTCCAAAACAAAGTAAAAAAGAAAATATTCTTATATTTGTGGATCTTCACAACACATAGCTAAATGTGTTGTGACACATTTTGTGGTAAAAAATTTAAACACAAAAATCAAAGTAAAACTAATTCCGAAAGTAGCAAATTAGAGAAAAATGACATTGTTGTGGCTCAAATTAATACAGAATACACTGATACACTGATAAGAAACAAGTCAAAATTCAATCTCTGCAATATATGAAAATAATAGTTGAAAATAAAAAAATTGATGCTATCAGGTAGACCGATTTTGATGTTAAAAAGTAATATTTTATCAAAAAGCAATCAAGATAACAGAAAAATCAAGTTAATATCTGCATTCAGTGAAGAAACAGAAGCAAAATTAATAACGCCATTTATGTCATTGAAAGATGATTATTCCAATTTATTAAGTTAACCAGCAGACATTCTGGGGGAAGTGATGGATCCCTTGAATGGAGTTTGTTTATTACTCATACAAACCTTTGAACTCTTGTGCCATGGATGTGGTTTGATGGGGGAATGAATTTGAAGGGAAAACGAAATTGGAAGGTGAAATGAAAAAATAGTTGTACTACATGGAGACATATAAGCATGGAATAAATATCCCTCTCTCATATGAAAAAACCAAAATGCAAAATAGGAATGATATGTATGTCAAAACGCGTTTGGAAACACGGACACAAGTTTTCAAAATTATCATTATAATGATGTATTGAAATTCTGAGAGCAGCAGATGTCTCGTCTGATTTAGAAGATATATAAATTAATTTAAACCAGGGAAAATTAAATTTTATGGAATCTGATAATATAATTTTTCATAAGAATAAAGTAATGGGAGATTCAGTTCAACAGTCAGTTCTTTCAAAGAGTTGAAGAAAAGATGTTTTAAAATTAGCACATGAATCTGTTTTCATGACTCACATGGGAATAAAGAAGGCAAAAGAGAGAATTGGACATAAATTTTACTCGCCCAATATGGCTGAAAATATTACAGAATAATACCAATCATACGATTAAGAAGTAATGAAAAAATAATGATAGAATTATTATTACCTCATCTAAGACCTTATTTACCATTCAAAGTTGTTAATGTCAATACTATAGGTCTTACAGAACCTTCTTTGGCTAGGAAATATAAATATAGTTTATGTCTAGTGGATTAACATTTGCATTGGCTAGAAGCCATTCCATTACATCCTTTAAAAGCTACATGTAACGTTCTGTTGGAAATATGTACAGGAACTGGTAAATACTGGTATTCCGAAAATTATAGCAAGTGATCAAGGGATCAACTTTATTTCTCAACTGACACAAGAATTTATGAAATGTTTTGGATTTCATCCAAAATTTTCAATTCCAGGATATCTAGCTAGTAGTGGTTTTGTAGAGAGATACGTTTGAGTTTTGAAAAGCGCTTTGCATCATGTCATCTGCGCCAATCCATTTAACTAGGATAAATAACTGCCATATTTGCTTTTTGCTTATAAAGAGATTCCCAAGTCTACTACAGGGATTTCTCCTTTTGCCTCTAACTTTGAAACAGATTTTTGCCATGGAAAAAGCAATTTTAATCCTTCTTGGATTTGATACAAACTTTAGCAAGGCAGTTATATTTGTTGACTCCCAAACTACCATTATGGCAGCTGTCTCCTATATACCTAGTAATTACTTTCTTGTTGAGACTAAGATTAATGTACCCAAAGCAATTGCTGGTTTTTCAATGGATCCCCAACCACTGTGGGGTACCTGGAAATGAAAAAGGGCAATCTTTTGGGTGAAAATGGCTGTAAGTCACATTTTCCTCTATCCAGCCACCAGTTTAGTTCAGAGATAAAGAAGAAAGTGAACCAACTCTTAAAACAAGTACAGTACAAAGTCTGTAATCCGCACTCGTCGGGACTTAGGTGATTCCGAATTATAGATCATCAATTTAAATCTGGTAAGATGGCATGCAGAAATTATACAATTAAAAATATGAAACCGTAATTTATGAAATAAAGAGCAATTATGATCTAAAGGATATTAAAATTTACAAAAAAAAAAAAAAAAAAAAAAAAGCTTAATATTTATTTGTTTATTTTATTAAACATTTCTTTTAATGCAAGTTGTTTAAGTTGCTTCATTTTTTTGTGCTAATACTTTCTCTTTAATTCTATAAACAGACAACATTTCTTATTCAGTTACAAAGTTCCACTGTTCAAGTCCTGTAATTTCTATGTTGAGAATACTGACTAACTTGTCAATCGAAATTTTTTAATTTTCAATAACCTCTCTGTCACTTTCTTCACTATTGGAAGTGTGCATGGGTAAACGCTTTATGCGCGTTTGTGGCTTTGAGGTCCAGATTATAGATCATTCCGGATAATGGACGTCTGGATTACAGACTTTGTACTGTATAAACTCATTTCAAAAGATAAAGGTGTGGAATACTCTTGCATTTTCGCCTATCCCAATGGACTTGCCCCGTGCAGGTTTTACAGCAAATTTTCGACTCTCGACAGGACATGACTTTCTACGAGGGCTATCCAGAAAGTAGATTACGTTTTGGAATAAAAAAATAAACAAAGTATAGGAAACAAATTTTATTATATACAGATGAAAGCCACACTCAAATACTACTTTTCTACATAGTCACCATACAAATTAAGGCATTTATCGTAGCGATGTACGAGCTTGGAAATTCCTTCGTCGAAAAATTCGGCTGCCTGCGCCTTCAACCACTTCGTTACCTCTTCTTGCCTTCCATCTTGCACAAAACTTGTGGTAACCAAGCTTTTCACTGATGATTTCGTGCAACAAACTTCGCGAAATTTGTGGAAAACTCAAAGAAAGTTCCGTTATTGTGAAATTTCGATTTTCACGGACTTTAGCATCGACTTTTTTTCGAGAAGTTCGGCGGTCACTATGCTGGGTCTCCCACTTCGATCTTCGTCGTGAACATTGGTTCGGCCATTTTGAAATCTTATGACCCACTGACGCACTCCACCTTCAGTGATAATGTTGTCCCCATACACT